CTGAAGAAATTCCAGTGAGTTTCTAACAGGTTGGAATCACTCAAGTTAGCTAATGTAGAGTTTTGTGCCTTCCATTTTGCAGCACAGAAATTGCAAAGACATAGAAACAGTACTTGAGTTACTTCAGTTCTTTATCTTGATTGGATTTGTATTTTAAAAATTAAAACAATAAAGCAGAGTAACTGGAGAACAAAATGTTTAAAAAGCATGTCTTGTTGAATCTGAATCTAGGGAAAAATTCCCTCATTTACTTATGAAACAAATGCATGAAGCCAAGTCCACATGTGTCAGGGCTTACTGAGGCACAGATAACATCTATATGTATAGTCATCCGTAACATAGATAACATCTATATATCTATCCATTTGAAGCACAGGCAACATTTGTTGTCTATTCATCTATAGCATAGATAACCTCTACTTATCTACTGATCTGTAACATAGATAACATCTATCCAATCTTTTCATCTATTTATTTAATCACCTATTATCAATCATCATCATTATGATCATCATCATATTCTATCATCTATCAGTTCATTATATATTTTCTATTTGCCATCTAGCAATTCTCTCTCTCTCTCTCTCTCTCTCTCTCTCTCTCTCTCTCTCTCTCTCTCTCTCTCAGTTTGCTAGGGATGCCATATTACAAATTAGGTGGCTTGTAAAACATAACTTCATTTTCTCACTTGTTCTGGAGATTAGAAGTCTACGATCCAAGGTGTAGGCAGATTTAGTTATTTTTTGAGGGCTGTAAGGTAAGAATCTGTTGCAGGACTCTCTCCTTGGCTTATAGATGACTGTCTTCTTTCTGTCTCTTCACAGTCTTCACTCTGCACTGTGTTCAAATTTCTTCTTTTTATAAGAACACCAGTTGCATTCCATTAGAGCCTACCCCAATGACCTAATATTAACCTAATTACTTCTACTAAGACCATATCTCCAAATACATCGCATTCTGAGGTACTGAGTGTTAGTAGTTTAACATATAAATGGGAAGGGGAGGCACCCAAGTCAACAGTTCATAACACTGTCTGAACAGTAACCACAATGATTATTTAGAATTTAGACCAACAAATTACATTTTTTTGTTTGTTTGTTTTGATCAAGGGTGACTTATTACTGAAATTATTTAGAAAGGTCAGCATGTGAAGATAGAAAACAGACCCAATAATTAGTTCATTATTATTTTTTAAATATTTACAAATAGACTCTCCTCCTATTGCCTGTACCTGGGGATTACTCTCACTGCCGTCTCTTGGCATGCACTGCCCAGCCTATGGTATCGAGTTCCCTGGGATATAGATTAGACAGAAGAAGTCCAAGAAAAACAGGCAAATAGGATGTGGATGGGCCACTTGTGTATCCATGTGTGTTACTGATGTGTCTCACTTAGTCCCAGCCACCAGACTTTTTTGAATATGGCAATTCTCTGTGTCCTTCAGATGGATAGTGAATATTCTCCTACTCTTGTGGTATTCTAAGCTTGGCAAGATTACCTTTTAGACTGTCAGACTAAATATGGCATCACAGAGACGTTCCATATCCCCCAACACTGAGGGGGTCATAGGGAAAATTCTGTTAACGTCTTCTGCTCCACCTGAATCAGGACACATAATTTCTGCGCTTAGATTCCCAAACCCATCTGAGAGTTCGTAATTTCTCTGTGCCCCACACCCCAAGAAGTGGACTAGGGAGGAGCTACCAGGCCCCTCCCAGAGGCACACTGATATTTAGATCCTCTAAATTCAGGTTCTTATTATTTTACCTTCACCCAAAGAAATCATTTTATAATCTTAAGTACGAAGAAAACCTCGTTCTAATTATTCTTCTTTGCCCACAATCTACTCAAAATATATGCTTTTCAAACTCAAAAATTAAGAACTAGCTTTACTTTTCTGAGTTCTAGTATTTCATTTCTTCTCTAGGAAGGAGGGGATCCATATTAGTTAAAACCTCAAACAATTATAGTGTATGTATATTATTTTTTAATCATTCCTCAAACGCTTATTAAGGCTTGACTTAGTACAGTTGTTGAATTATTGATTTCTCCATGTTAACACTATGTGACATTGACAAGTCATATAATCACAAGGTTATAAGTTTTAGTTCTTATTGTTGACATATTTTGAAAATGTTATTTACACCATCTAGAGTACATGATGGTTAAGAAGATCAAGAGAGCCCAACAAAATGCTTTTAAATATACTAAGCTTTTTTGCAAATGAAAAGGGTTTGTAGTTCATTTAATTAAATTTGTAAACTACAATAGTGCTACTTTTTTAAAACATCTTCAACCATGTATACTTGGATAACAGCATATGATACTAACTTTATTTTTCTTCTTTATATTTTTCTTCTTTCCCTGGTCCTCATTCCGGAAGGTGGTCAGCAAAACATTTTACTGAATATATAGCAAAACTGAAGGCAAATATAGTCTAGATGAGTTTTAGTTTGTGTGTTATGGCTTCCAAAAGCCTCTATGAAATTGTACAAAGTTTTTGACAATGAGGGAAGAGAAGGAGAGTTGTGGAGGTGACATTAAAAGAAAAAAAAAAAAAGGAGAAGCAGCCATTTCTTCCATCGCTGCTTGTGGATAGCTGGTAACCAGGTTAGCAGGTCAGGTTCCTGGCCAAGGATCTAGAAAATGGTAGATAGATAATCCCAACACCAGCTGCTTCAGTATTTTTCAAAGTTTCCCAAACAATTCTAATGTGGTTGAAATCCACTGATTCAAGCAACCCAGAACAACACTCACAAAAAAGAAAAAAATGGCCAAGTATGACAGAATGGATAGAGCTGAGAAGCCTAAAAAGACCAGGTGACATCTCTTACCTGCAAGGACTGATGCCAGTGGACTAACATTCTGAAACTATCACTGAACACTGTTTAACCTTGCAAAAAATCCCAAGAACTGTGTAATATGTGGGGAAGTACCCAAGAAGTTGAATTTGAGTTTTAGAAAATAAAATAAATGTCTTGCACGACTGGGATTACAGTAGGATATGCTCGTTTGCAATGCATCTTTAATCAAAAATTAGTAAAATTTATTTTTGGTGCAATTGGAAAAATATTGCAGCAGAGTAGAGGAAGGAGAAAAAATTTTTTCCCCCAAACTGCACCTTGATTAATGAAAGAGAAAGCAATAGAATTCTTATTTCTTGAAATGTTGCCTTACATTCAGTAGCTAATATTATCTCATGATTTCATTAAATATTACTCCTTTGTACTCTTTGATCCTCTGGCTAGCAGAATAACATGCCTCCTCATTTAGACTGAGCAACCCATCCTTGTAAGGCTAATTACTTCTAGGTGAAACAAAAGGCAAGACAAATGATTCCCTGACAACCTTTAAGCATATATCTTGCTTGTCTTGATGGCTTACTTATTTGACTGTATAAGACAAATGACTCCTTTCCAGCATACTCAGTATTAGGCCTTTCTAAATAAAGTCTGATAAAGAAACAGTCTTAGAACAAATCTATCTCCATGACTGTTTTTCTTATTTTTATTGTTAGTACGTGAAGATATTATGTGATACTTATCATTGAAATACTGCTGATGTTTAAAATGCAGTTTTATACTACCAATGGTTTGACTTCCTGAAGTCTTGCTGGTAGTTTACAGAATGGAGTGAGGGTTTAATATCAACTTCCAGACTTGAGTTAAACCAAGTTAATGTTTCAGAGTTACTAGGGTATATTCTGATAACAGAAATTCAATCTCAAATTGACCTCACGGTTAAATATATCAACATCATTATAATATGTAATTGTTTTATTATTTTATAATAAGAAAGAATGCACAACAAATATTTGGTGAACAAATGTAAGCTTTTCATTACAATTCTATACTGTAAATTAAATATGTTTTATTACAAAATAAACACATTTGAAGAGTTAAGACTGGATATATAAACATCGGTTATAATGTATGTAATTCAAGCAAAGTAAAATACCTTCACCATAGCTATTTGTTTATTAGAGAATAAATAAGGAGGTATTTATCTTAGCCTGACTAATTGCCTGAATCATTACCTGAATTCCTCATTCTGCTTTGTGTGTTTAGACCTGTGCAATGACTAAAGAATAAAACAAGGAACAAAAACCATTCCCTTCAACACCCAACCTCAACTCTCTAATCAGGACCACATAGCCTGTTGTTAAGAACTGAGTGTTAATAGTCTTGTATTGATGTATCTCATCAAGATAGTTGCTTGTAGGTGAAAATGATAAGCTGTGGAAGTATATTATTTTTCATTTATAAATTATTTTTCTTTAAATTATTCTTATAAGCAAACTTAACTGTATAAATAAGAGAGTTTAAAATCCATATTCTTAAATGTCCTAAAAGAAATCAGTGCCCTGTTTTTCCTAAGTGTCTAATTTTTTAGTACATGTGAGTTTCCTAAAAGAATGACAAACTTTTTCATTGGATGAATATTTTCGTACTTGACAAAGGCAATTAAAAATCATTATGCACCTGTACAATCACCATTTGTATACCCAACCCTGAATTGTAACCTCATCTTAAAAATAAAAAATAAAAATTAATCATTGTGTGATATCTACAATTTTCCAGGATAATCCTAAAAAAAAAAGTCACCATTTAGTTGTTAGTATGAGAATAAGAAATACTTTGATGAAAAATAACAGATTATGTTTTCGAATAGATGTTTGTTTATTGCTATGGATGATAAATTGCAATATATGATGATCAAATCAGAACAGTCCATATTGTATATTTGCAAATGATTTGGGGTATACTTGATTTTACACTAGGAAAATTAAAATGGGGACTGAGTTCAACAACAATAAATGCATTTAATACACCTGAGGTCAGAATGTCCAAGTAAGTCATTTCTATTCCTACCATAGACAGCAAATTGCAATTTTCCTCTCAACTTATAAATCTAATTATAAAGTAAGTTCTCCTGCCTGACGTACTTACAGTTTCTGACAGGACTGTCTAAAACACATTGACCATAATCCTTAGTTGGAGATGAAAGCAGGGATCAGACATAACTGGTGGAGGACTTACTAGCCACTGTCACGTTTCTTCGCTTATCTGTGTGTGGCACACAGTATCTAGGGACCGGATATCTATGTCTTTGCTTCTTTCTGTTGCAGCAGCAGAACCCTAAGAGCAGACCCCCTCCGATGAAGAGGACAGCAGTGCTCGCCCAGCCAAGGAAGAGTGCTGCTCCCAGCTCTCGTTTCTGACCTATATGGATGGCAGGGTTGTAGAAGTCCCTGATGATGATATTGGCTGTCCAGCACACCGGAATCAGAACGAAGATGCCTGTCAGGATGAACAGGACTCCCGAAGTTCCCAGAAGATATGCTTTGGTCCTCTCATTAGATCCCGTGCACTTGAGCTGCTTCATGCCACAGATGCCAATAAGCAGGGCAATCAAAGAGAGAGAAACGGCCACACACATGAGTGCACGGGCTGCTTCCAGAGCAGGCGGGAGAGCCAACAAGGAATTATAGAACTTACACTGCAACCTGACCTTGGCTTGTCGGATGCAGTTCATCCAGAGCCCTTCCCAGAGCCTTTCAAAGACAATAATGTTGCTGCCAACAAAAGCTGATACTCTCCACTGAGGCAGAAGTGTTGTGGCAAGAGTTCCCGCCATGCCAAGGAACCCAAGAACCAGCCCCGCAATTTGCAGTGGATAAAATGCCATCGCCTTTACTTTGAAGACTAGTCCAATCTGAAATGGTAGAAGATTTTCAACATGCAGAACGTGGAGGGTTCTTTGAATCGAGAGCTGTCTCTGATGTTCTCTTCAGCTGCTGTCCAAAGGTTTTAGTTCAAATCTTCAGCTGTGACTGAACTTGGCCTAACTAGAAGCACCTGTTGTAAATGCATGCTGTCTTTGTACACACATATTCATTTCTGTATGGATTATTTACTAGTCATACATAATTGTTTCCCAGCCAATGAGAAGGTAGCCAGAGGTGTGTCAAGAAATACTGCATTCAACTTTAGAATTTCTCGTATTATTATTGTGTTAGCAATGCTGTAATTAAGTGTCAAAGCTTCCTTTGTGGATTACTAATTACAGAGCAGAAAACTTCCTGTTTAAAAAATCACTCTGATGTAAAAGTTTATAAATATATGTGTTAACTTACAGCTGAAGATAATGCCAAAATCTTGCTAGTTTATTGGAGAGTAATTAAAAAACATTTTGGGCTTTATTAATTTCTTCTAGTGTAAGTCACCTTTTCTTAATATGACCAAACAACTCTGGCTTTAATAAAAAACATTTGGAAAGCAAGAAATGTATACATACTAGTTCAAGACTTCTACTGAAACCATTGATACTTAGAAGGAAACTTGAGCAAAAAATTCACATTTCATAGTTTATTCTTAAGATCCAGAGAGGAATAAAATACAGGAACACTCCTTATAATTAATGGGTAATTATTGTATTAACTGTTAAGTAACTCCTCTATCTCTTTTGAAATAGTGTTTAGTATGTAAACTTTTTTTTTTTTTTTTTTTTTAATCCCACCCCGCCCCCTAGTATGTAAACTTTCATTGATGTTACTACGGTGGCCGCTTGAAATATATCACATTTATCAAAGCCAAAAATGTATCTCTCATTTTTGTGGAACAATATAAAAAGTTGTCCTTCGAATTAACTATGCAATTATTTCTAATTTAGATACTAGAAAACTTTTCAAAGCTAGAAAGTACATTTAAGGTCGTCAGGTTTAAGACACTTATTTGCCAGATGGGCATCTGGAGGCTCACAAACTACTAGGCTAAGGCAAGCTATGTGGTAATTGATTCAGAAACAAACCCAGATCTCTAATTCACTATGCTTACCTCCGTTGTCCAGTCTGATTCAAAAACAGGAGGAAAAGATGCTTTTTCAAGCCTTTCATATGAATGGGACTAAATATGAAATTTAACAAAACCCCTTTTCAAATGATTTTCAAAGCAAATAAAATTAAACTGAGATCGTTTCAAAGCTCAAGAATCAAGTTGGCATCCCTGACTTGCTGTTGCCTGGAGACTGGAGGGCTACATGTGAGAGGTGCGGACTTTTCCTCTTTTTCTTTTACATTTCACTGCAAGGATTCCATTTTAAAGTGGAAAACTATTCCAGAGCAAGTATGCCAACCACACTCCAGATAGGAGACATTACAGTTTTCAAAAGGCACTGCATTTCGGTCAACCAGGCCAAAGAGTTAATGGGAAGTCCAACACCATCCAGATTTAAAGAGCCCATTAATTTATTAAAGGAATATAAAAACTACTGAGTTTTCTAAATAAATGGCTTGAGAACTTCCTTTCTAAGGAATGTGAACCACTGAGCAAACAGATGATTTCTGTGTAGTTCACAGTTTCCTAGCACCAGCTCAAGATGAAGGACTTTCTGGGCCCTTTGTTCTGGCTTACTATAGGCTTAGCCATTTCTACCCTGACAGGATTTGCCAGCATTACTCTGACATGTTACTTCCAGCTCTACTTCCTTGTTCTAGTTCCTCTTCCTCCTTCTATCTCAGTTTTATCTCTATCTTCATTTGGTCCAGGAAGTTTCCTATATGTTGGTTTCTAATTATTTGACTTTTTACTAGCTAGAGCATCTGATCTATATTACAAAGAAACACAAGTGAGAACATATGTTTACTTAAAATATGGAGGGACATCCTAAATGTAAGAATAATCTGAGAAACATAAATAATGGAGAAGCTCTTGGATTTTGCCTCTCACAGCCAAAGCAAATTGTCAAAACCATTTTTATTTTCTCTCCTTTACATTTAGGGGGAGATACTGCTTTCCTCTCCAACTTTTCTGTAAATCTCATCCCCTTCTACCTTTTTGCTCCATTCACCACTACCTCCTTCACTGTACCTATACTATCTCCCTTTCTCTGAGTTGTTCTTTATAAAACAAACATACTCTGGTTGGGTGTGGTGGCTTAAGCCTGTAATCCCAGCACTTTGGGATGCCGAGACCAAGAAGATTACATGAGCCCAGGGGTTCTAGACCAGTCTGGGCAACTCGGCGAGACCTCATCTCTACAATAAATAAAATAAAATAAATTAGCTGGGTGTGGTGGCACACACCTGTAATTCCAGCTACTTGGAAGGTTGAGGCGGAAGAATCAGCTGAGTCCAGCAGGTCGAGGCTGTGGTGGCTGTGAGCGTGCCACTGCACTCCAGCCTGGGTGACAGAGTAAGTCTCCAACTCAAAAAATAAAAATAAAATAATAATAATAATAATAATAAAACAAATGTACTCAATGTTCTTCCATTTTAATATTCCATCTGGCCAGTTCTGTATCCCCTGCTGTGTGTACAGCTTCTGGTCCACTCTCGTATTTTCTCTGTTTCACACAATGAAGTCTGCTTTTTGTTACCATGCTACCCACTGAAACCTTGCCAGAAATGTTACAGACACCCTAAATACCATCTTTGAAGAACACATCCATATTTCTGCTTACTTGATCATTCTATAAAGATCACAACAGACCTAATGGGGCAGTTAAGGGCACATGCTTTGGAGAGAGACTTGTTTTGGAGAGAGACTTGTTTTGGTGTTGGCTTGATGCCTTAGCCAGCCGTCTTGAGCATGTTGTTAAACCTCTCAAAAGTGTCTATTTTACAAAATCAGGATAATAATATCAACCTCAAAGGAAGGTTAAATGGAATTTGTACAAAGTACCTAGTCCTAAGCAAGCACCGAGGAAAGATTTTCTGACAATATTTGTCTCATTTGTTTTTGATATATTATCTTGCTTATTACTTCTCTGTCTGCTCGTTGGAGTCTCACTCTGTCGCCCAGACTGGAGTGCAGTGGCCGCTCCCGGCCACCACAGCCTCGACCTGCTTGGATCCGGCTATCCTTCCGCCTCAGTCTTCCAATCAGTGTCTTATTTTTATAGGTGACCTTTACCATGTTTGTTTTTGCTTGTTATTTCTTCCAGGCTTCCACTTGTACCTCAATATTCTTCTCATTCAATATACTTTCCCTAAGCCATCTCATCTATGTCCACAGTGCCTACTACCTCCTATCAACCTATAGTTAATGAATCTATTATCTTTAGCCCAGACCTGTTACAGTTTATCACCTTCAGCTTACTTTTCTTCTTAGCTTCTTCAATAATATGAACCTATAATGAATACTGTGATGTTCCATACAGAAGCCCCTTCCAGCTGTTAAGAATGCTGTCATCCTTAACTGTCAACCTCCTTCAGGTGATTGATTGAAAACAGGCATGTCATCCACATCATTCTCCTTTCATAGAGGCAGCCATATTCCATAATTCATCAATATGGGGGGATAAGGTCCAAGTCCAATAGCTCTAACTAGGGGGTAACACCGAGGGGTCACTTTAGCTCCAGAGCTCACTGTGATCAGCTGAGGCCTTTATTGCATCTGCACCACAACTTGACTTCTTCTCATGTACAGTCCTATTCCTTTACTTCCTTTCCTCAGATCATAATAAACATGCACATTAATCTCTGCCTTAGAGTCTGCTTCCAAGGAAACCAACTATTGAATGACACTTATTCTAATTCATTAAATAGGTTTCCTATTATAACACTACTATGCCTTAGTTCAGCCCTTTGACATTCCTCTTCTGTATCATTTCAATGCCTTATCTAGTCTTGCCTCTGAGACCCTTCTTTACTCTTTTCTGATCATTATTCTATTGAAGAAGCACAAAAAACTTCACTGAATTAAATGCTGCACATACCAGCATCTTACTTAAAATTTTTCATTAGTTCTCCATTGTCTCCAAAATAAAATCCAAAAGATATCCTTGAGTTGACTTTTGCCCAACTTCAAAACTTAGCTTCTGACCATGACTCCATTCTGCATCCACACAGAGCTTATGTTTGTTTGTTTGTTTTTAACTTATGTTTTAGTGAGCATAGTAAATACGAAGCAGGCAATTGCCAAAATACATGTAATTAAAAATTGGGATACAGCTAGATTAAGAAAATGTGAGGTATAAACTGTGCATAAACAGAAGCAATTTTAATTTTAATTAAGGGGTGAAGGAAGAGATCTCTGATGAAACAATAGTTAAGCTACAACCTGAAGCTTGAGTATGTATTAGCCAGGTAATCTGGCAATGAGTGGGATTAAAAGCATTCTGGGCATGAGAGAATGTCTGGGTGAAGGTTCTGAGGCCAAGGAGAGCTTGGGTCTAATGCAATTACAAGGCTGAAGCAAAAAATTGGGTGAGAAGAAGGAAAAAGAAATGGGTGAGAATTGAGATGCGGTTGCAAATGCAGGCAAGGTCCAGTGATGCAGAGTCGTGTAAACCATTTAATAATCTCCTAAAATCAATGCAAAGCTAGTTAAAGATTTTCAGCATGGGACTGACATGACCAAAACTCAAGTTTGTGTTAAAATAATAATAATGAATTAGAAATTAGAATGAGAAAACACAGTTCCATTCACAATAGCCACAAAAAAAATGAAATACCTTGGCATCTTCCTGACCAGAGACGTGAAAGACCTTTACAATGAAAATTACAAAACACTGCTCAAAGAAATCAAAGCCGACATGAACAAGTGGAAAAATATCCCATGCTCATGGATCGGAAGAATCAACATTGTGAAGATGTCCATCTTACCTAAGGCAATCTACAAATTCAATGCAATACCCATTAAATTACCAACAACATTCTTTTCAGACCTAGAAAAAACAACACAGGAATTCATATGGAAACACAAACATCCAAGAAT